GAGACTTCGGAAAATGGAACAAGATATGGCTTACAATTATACTACTATTACAGCTCTCAATGTTACTATTACCAGTACCAACAACAACTCTAACAGCCAGCACATAGAGTCAATAAGTACCAAATATATCTCTATTCTAAGTTCTTAAGAGTTTGATTGAACATGAGAAAAGCTTCATGTATCTATTGCACAACTATGTACTAAGCTCATTAGTGATGCTCATCATTACAAAGATAAACAACACAAAGTTTCCTATACCTTGGCACTGCTTACAGGCAAGGTTTACATTCAGGTTCTTTTTTTTGTTGATACTACTAGCAGTACTATTAAGCTTGAGTCAGTTAATTCCCTAATCACTCTCCTGGAGAATGCATTTGGAGATAGAAATCATGTTGCAACAGTGGAAATAAACCTCCAGAACCTGCCTCAGTGTCATGAATGTAGCTTGGCAAGGAAAGGATTTTCATGTGATATATGATTATGAGTCATAGGTATGATATTGTTTCACGCGTATGACTCATTCAAGTTATATGACATATATTATGTTATGATTTGTTATCTTCTGCACATGACTCAAGTATGAGTCATGGGACATGCGCCTAGTGAGTGTGCCTTGCAAGTATGCCTTGTGGGTATGCCTTGCACATATGGTTTATGTTTCGCAATTGACCTCATTACAAGGTCATGGGTTTTATGCATGTGACTACTTGGAGTCATATAACTTATTTATTTCATTATGATTTGGTTTTGCACATGTAACCACTTTGGGTCACATGAATTGAAGTGGGAAGAACACTATATAAGGAGGCCGGTATGGTCAAAGAGGATAGGTTCTTCATGTTTTATTCTAAGTACTTTTCCTACTTATTACTATAATAAATATAAAATACCTTTATATTCTTTATCATTATCACGACCTTTATTATCATTATACCAAGAGAACTCTTCATGAATGAAGGTTAAAGAAAGATAACGATAAAGGTTTTCGATAGGAGACAGATATCTTGTAGTATCAGTAACATAGGTATCGGCCTAGAGCTATCGTAAGACTAAGAAGAAGAGAAGTATTGTTCCCCGTTGCCAAGAACTAACCATCCAAAGGGGGATTGTTATATTATAAAATGTCGCCTAGAGCAATGCTAAATGATACAAGGTGGCTTTCTTCAAGCCAGACTGGGAAGGAGATATTGACATTGACAATCAAAATCTTAATCTAATGGGATTTAGCAATGCCCTATATCACGTTTCAGCAGAGCCCTAGAGGGCAGCAAGTCCAGTGATCCCTGAAAATAGATCACTAGTCGATAGTTCTATACCAGAACCCCATGACCTGAGAGAAAGTTGGAAGCCGCAGTACGGGTGCTACTGGCCCTGACTACTCCAGTACCAGGTACCAGTATACTTGGAATAACTGAAAACCAGTTTTAGACATTTCTCGTAGCAATACAAAATACAGTACAAGGAAATATCTAACGGCCAAAAGCAAAAGAACTGGACAGGTACCAATGAGCCAAAGATAAACTACAAATATTCCTAGTACAATGCAAAGAATATTTCGCTATCAAGAGATATGGAGAACACTACAATGAGATCAAGATTCCCTTTGTGGAATCTCTATTGAGAGGGCTTGCTGGACAATGGATGACGCCTTTCTAAGCCGGAAGGAAACAAAGGGAACGGATCACATATGTGGAATTCAAAGCAACCCTCTTTGAACAGTTCGGCGATCTCAACGCCAAGGAGATAGCAAGACAGAAGCCGGATAAACTCCAACAAGGAAAACAGACATTTTTGGCATACTGGTACGAATGTTGACTATTAAAATATGAGGCAGAATTTGATGATACCACCCTCTACATCATCCTGCTAAGAAACTGTAGTGAAAGAGTATGAGTAACATGGAGAATTTCTGACCTGCATTACACAACCTCAGAATGATTTGCAAGATGGGCAATCAATGAGGAAAGTAAACTGTACATGGTTTGAAACAATTCGGAAAACACCATAGTACAAATAGTGGTTGAACCATCCATGAACATGGATGGAACTTTCAGAACACAAGCAATACAAAGTGAATGCAGAATGTTGCCACTAGGTGAACCAATAGAAGTAGACAAATCAAGAGCAGGACCAGCTCTGAATCTATCCAAGGAAGAATATGTTAGAAAGATGAATAGGAAACTCTGCTTAAGGTGCAGAAAAGCAGGATATTGGATACGGGAATGCTGAAGCCAATTCGACAATGGATACCAGGAGACAAAGGCAGCTTGAAACAAGTGCTTTCTGTTTCAGAAGAAGTGCAACTTCTGCAAGATGATTGCCAAGGACTTATCGGCGGAAAACAAAGAGGGTCCCCAGTAAATGGTAGTCTGGGAGATACAAGATGCAGACCTGGAAAATCAATCAAGTTAGCGAACTACTATACGGCACTATACACGCAATGAGGAGAAAAGAACAGAGATCATGTGATGAGCAAGACGAAGATATACAATAAAAAACACGAAAGAAACAAAAATATATACAATACTCAACTTGGAGGCTACAGAAGATTTTATCAACAAGGAAATCTACGAGAGATATGACCTTACCACCAAGCAAGTGAAGAATGTGAAACAAGTCTACTTAGCAGACTGGAAGCTAAGCGCAATGGGTCCTACAACCCACATGGCGGAAGTATCTATAGACATTGACAGCCATAGGGAAAAGGCAACCATCTAGGTAGCAATTCTCAAGAACTATGAAATAGTCCTAGGGATGCCATGGTTAAGAAGACACAATGTAACAATCGATTGGTACAAGAACAAATTGTCCTTCACCAGTGAACAATATGCAACACAATGTCTCAACAGTTCACCCATTGTCTACTCGATACCAATACGAGGAGCAGAAGAAGAAAATTTGCATAAAATGTTTGCCAAGATGCAGTAAGATAAGAGAGTCCAGATTCAAAAACTAAACCAAGGTGTAAAAGTGCCTATTAAGGATTCAAAGAGAGTGGCAGGACATGACCTGTATGCCAATAAGAGAACCAAGATACCTGCTAATGGGCAGGCAATGATAGCAACAGGAATTGCCATTGGACTACTAGATGGAATCTATAAATGGATAGTACCCTGCAGTAGTCTAGCAGTCAAATATCAACTTATGACCAATGCAAGGGTAATCGACGCTGACTATACAAGTAAACACACGATGGTCTTAGCCAACCTGACTCTAGAGAACTACAAAGTCCAGAAAGGTGATCAAATCGCACAGTTGATTATTGAAAAGATAGACAATAAAGATCTCTATGAAGTAGATCAATTGGAAGAAACCATAAGCAGAAACAAGTGGTTTAGAAGCACAGACTAAATTGAGCCCAATACAACCGAAAGAATTGAGATCAAAAAGATGACAGCATAGACCATTGGAAGGTACTATCAAAGAGGAGACACTACAGGAAATCTCAAATAGACATAAGAAGACGAAAAAGCTGTCCTAGCAAAAATCAATATCAGCACTGAGCTAGCAATCCAAGACAGGAAATATCAGAGCAAAAAGAGAAGAAAAGAATTAATTCTGAAAGAATATTTTCAATTCACGAATCTATTCTCAGAAGAGGAGGCTACTGGGCTACCACCCAGAAGACCAGGAATCGGCTACGAGATTGAGCTTGACAATGACAAAAAAACAGGAAAATCAAAGGAAATTCCCTATAAGAAGGTATACCCACTATGAGAGGCAGAACTCGAAGAACTCAGAAAGTACATCGAACAAAATCTAAACAGACGATGCATCAGCGACTGCTTTGCATTAGGAGGATCTCCTATACTATTCATCAAGAAGAAGGATGGAAAAATGAGACTCGGTGTCAACTACAGAGCCCTCAATTTGGTTACCAAAAAAAATCAGTATCTGCTACCATTGACTGGAGAAGTATTAGACAGATTACGATCAGCAAAATACGTAACCAATTTGGACATCAAGGATGAATACCACACCATATGGATCAATGGAGGAGACAAATAGAAGACCACATTCACCTCAAAATATAGAATATTCGAATACTTGGTTATGCCTTTTGGGTTAACCAATGCACCGGCTTCATTCCAACGATGGATCAACAAGATACTAAACAAGTACCTCGATATATGTTATATCATATACCTGAATGATGTACTCATCTATTCGGAAAATATGCAACAACATCAGAAGGATATCACCAACATCATAGCTGCAATACAGGAATCAGAAATGAAGATCAAACCAACAAAGTACGAATTCTATAAGCAAGAAACCGAGTACCTCGAGTTCTTCATCAATAGAAGCGGAGTTAAGTTCGATCCAGTCAAAATGGCAGCAATATGGGATTGGGTAAAACCTAACAGCAGAACATATGTTCACTTCTCATAGGATTCTGCAACTTTTATCGAAGGTTCATAAAAGGATTAAGCAGGCTTGCAGAACTGCTCTATAACTTAACCAAAAAAGACAAGAAATGGGAATGGGGAGAAATAGTACAAAAGGTATATGATGCTATCAGGACACATCTGACATCGGTACTGATACTGGTCTATTTCGATATAAACTAAAGAACAATGATCGAAACAGATGCCTCAAAGTATGTATGCTCAGGTAAACTTTCTCAACAATGCAAAGATAGAAAATGGAGGCCTGTATCTTATCGGTCCAAGAGAAGGACCCCTGCAGAATGCAACTATGATGTTGCAAACAAAGAACTATTAGGGATAGTTTAGTCATTAAAGGAATAGAGGAGATATGTCTGAACAATGACTATCTAGTCTTGGTTCTTACTGATCACTAGAATCTGGTCACGTTCATGAATGCAATACTCTCTGGATGTGCGTCAGTTGATGGTTTCATACATTACTGATGGGGTCATCATGCTGGTAGTAGAATCTTGTAATACTGCCCAATACTATATGGGAGAAATACTCACAAACTGTGATTGTGTAGTCAGGGCCAGGGCAATTGGATTTAGTGCCCTCAAAATCCAGTGGATTGGGTTTGGGGATAGGGTGGGGGAAGCAATAGAGTTGTTGGGAGAGATAGTTTTGCTTTTTGATGACCTGCGGGTTCTCAGATATAGGTTTAATGTATTTCTTAAATTTTCTTCTCATGTAAGATATTGGTTGGAAAGGGGATTGGGTGTCAGGAGAAGGATTTCAGCGTTGGGAAGGAGGTTTGGGAGTGTTGGGGGATTGAGAGCATGGGAGACTTACCACTTGGTACAGGTAGCTTACCTTTCAACTATCTACTATGGGCTTGAATTTGTAACTGACCATGCATCATATGTGAAGCAAATTCAGGTCCACATTAATGACTACCTCTGTTCAGTATTTCAAACACCTATGAAGCTAACTAACAACATACTATTAGCCCAGTTCAGAACACCACTGGTCACTATTCAAGGCAGGAACATATAATGGAGATGCTATAGCCGGTTCATTAATTACTAATACTGTAACCAACATCTATAGTTCAGAGAGATAAGGCTACAGTGGAAGGAGGAAGGCATAGTGGTACATCAGCAGACCTCGAATAAGGAGCTTACCCTCCACCCTACAGTTTCAATTGAAAAAGGCAAGACAGTGATGGCTGCATACCACCATTTACTGTCTGCGGACCTTTGTACATCTTTGGATGTGGATATATACATAGACAGATCCAAGACCTCTGAGGAGGCCCCAACACCTGGTCAAGATGTTGACTCAAAGGAGCAGGCGGCTTGGTGTTTCTTTCTCCGTACCCAAGACTGAACTGATGCATTGGAGGACGCCCAGACAAAGGGACCTCAAATCCACTCTCCCCATCGTCATTGATGGTCTCCTCTTCCGCCCCTCTGGGGTGGTCCAATGGCTCAGACACTGGTTTGATTTGGCCTCCTGCTCCCTCCATTGGGCTACCAACACCCACTTCTCGAAGCGTCTTGCACTAGCCCAGAGGGTTTTCTCAATGATCAGAAGGCTCTCAGGTCCCGGCAAAGGACTCGCCCCCTTCCTCTGGCATAGGCTAGCATCCTCCCTCCTTGCACCAATTCTCCTCTTCGGTACAGATTTGTTCATGCACTCAGCCACCATGACCGACCGGCTTTCCGTCTTTTGGAGACAAGTCCAGCGGTGGGTCACCAACTGTTTCTCCGAAACCCCTACAGGTATTCTCCCCTGTGAGTCGGCCCTTCCACCGGTCCAATGCCTTATCGAACACCATCAGTGCCTAGCGGCACTTAGGATAGTATGCCTCCCCCCAGAAAGGAATCCAGCCACTGCACGGCTGCACTCCTCCTTCCCCACGACTTCTTGTTATCATTCCCCGGAGGACCACCGTAGCTTGACGGTGGGTCTTACCCCAGGTTACAGACCACTAAATTGGAAAATCCCCAAGCCATCCCCTCCAGTAAGGAGGCATTTCCCGCTTGATACTATAGCCCACAGAGTGGTAGGGCTAGTCGGCAATCTCTCTCGTGTCCCACCAGTATTGCCTGCCCTTCTCCCTGAGCCATTGCCCTCCGCAGCTCCTGGAGACCCCCCTTTCCCGGCCCTCAAAAGAGGCTGCCGATAGTTGCTACTAAATGTCTGAGTAAAGCAGTACCCACCACCACCACAATACGCATACTCGCCCACGCTGTCGCCCCACCCCTTCATGGGGTTGGGGAAATTCGTGGCGGGCTGCATCCACCAAATAAGGTCTGGGAAGAGTTACCTGGCCACCCACCACTCTTGGAGAGACCCGGATGCCCCGGACACCTGCCCCTACTGTGAGGAAGGGCCTGAATCTTTCCACCACGCCATTCTCAACTGCCCCTCATGAACCAGAGCCAGAGACGCCCACCTCCTGGGGGTCGAGTGCTTGGATGAAGGAGAGCCAATCTGGATGTCACCAGCGCTGCTTCATGGCCTGGCCGCATACATCTCCTCCACTTCAACCGGCTTTCCCCCAGACATGCCTGCATTCAGAGATGCCCCCTCTGGGGCCCGCACCGTCGGGCAGCCCCTTTTCTCCCTTGGCTAGTCCCTCTCGGCCTGAGCTAGGGGTGTTGGCGTACTTGTTTGGTTTCCTTGTTTGTAGGATTTCACTTTAAGTTTAGTTTGAGTTTTTCCCTTTATAATAAGCTATTACGTGTTTTGCGATATGGGCTGTTCGCACTTTTTGGAGGCACTGGTTTGATTTCTTTTGTTTTGTTTGTTTGGGATTAAGGTTTTGTTTACGCTATAGCTAGCACTGCATGCGAGTTCTTATACCTAAACAATGAATACATGATTATAAAAAATATAAAAAAATAAAAAAAGACCTCTGAGGAGGCCACGCTCCGTCGCTCCTATTTTCCTCCCACATAGTTTGGCAACACCA